CGTACGCACAACTTAAGAACAAATCTGTGCGTACGAACGGTTCTTGCATGAGGCCCATTGTAACAAAACCAGCCGCTAAAACAAATTTAAGAGAATCAGTTTGTGAAGAAGCTGAAGCTCAAAGTGTGTTTTTATGAATAAAGTAAATTATTTATTTACAGAAAAGTCCAACATCAGCTGAAGCTACAAACAGTAAATCCTTTCAAACAACAGGATTTATTAAAATCATCTCAGACGAGTGGACGGGGGAAGTCAGACCCACCTTGACCAGGGTCCGGTATCCGTTCCCTGGCGTCTGGGGGTCCAGGTCGTAGTGGTGGTAGACGGCGGTGAAGCTGGCCACCAGCGGCTGCAGGGCGCGGCCGTGCTCCTGGATGCGCTTCATGCACGCCACCAGGCGCTTGGTGACGGCGCCGTACGGAGAGTCACAGGGTCCGCACAGGACAGCCAGGTTGTCCTCGCAGACCCGGTCCAGGGCCACGAAGACCACCTCCTGATCCATGTCTGAGTCTGGAACAGAAGCAGTCACCTGAGGTGGACTGAGGAACAACCCGGGTTAAACACACACACAGACCCCCCCGTCTTCTAGAAGACACTGTCCTCGTCTCATGATTGGTCCAGTTATCTGTCTCAGCCTGGAGACTGGACTTCGGACCCTCAGAGCGATTTATTCTGAAAAACCCACATCTGATTATCACACTTCAACAGTAAACCAAAATAAAAGCCCACTTCTCTACGGTCACTCTCAGCTACTACCACTCAACATTTTAGCTCTTTATCTGTCAAATTACATGAATTATAGCCATCTGTGTGTCTCTAAAGCAGGGATGTTCAAAGTGTGGCCCGGGGGCCATTTGTGGCCCCTGAACTGATTTTGTGTGGCCCCTGATTCGGTTCAAGAATTATTTGTTTACAAATTTGCCCCCCCGGCACGGCTGTTTGATGTAGACGGAGACTTTATTTATTATTAGGGCAAATTTATCACAAAGTTAAATCTTTTAATAAAAATATTTGCAACAATAACTTTTATTTGTCTTTAAATAACCAGATTTTTCCACATCTATCTGGTGACTTCTACTGAAAAGCTGATTTTAATTCATTTATTAAATTCGTCTGAATACAGCAAACATTTTCAACAAAAGAGTGATCAAAATCCTGATTTTATTGATCAGAATTGACTAAATCAGGTTATTTTTTTCTACGGTTGAAACCTAGAAAATTGCAAAATTTCTTTCAATAAGGGAAACCTGCAAATTAATTAATCCAGATTAATTTACACACCCATTTCCAACAATAAATCTGACAACTTTATTTGTTTAATTAAAGTATTCAAAGCTCAGTTTATTGTTGAGCAGGTAAAGGGAAAAGATGTTCGGTCCTTGAGTCTGTCTGACTTTATGATTTTGGYCCATGTGACTAAATGTTTGGACAGCTCTGTAAACCATCTTCAGTCAGTCACTAAAGACATGAATTAAATRATTATTTCCTCAAAGCTTCATTAAAATCAAAACAATCTTGAGATATTTTGCTAACAGACATGTGGACACAGACATGAGCAGAAATTTATTGATAATGATTTTTGTTTTAATTTGATTCATGTGCTTCAATGTTGTAATTATTTTAATATAATTAAAGGAAATCCTTCCTTTCATTTTATTGTAGTGTTTATTTTTTATATTTGTACAGAAAATTGATTTGTTTTAAAGAAACTAATAAAGATTTAAATAAAAAAATAAAGATAAAAATGATGAGAAAAGTTACTTATTTCTCCAGAAATGATCTTGAGGCACTTTTTTTTCCAGAGGTTTCAGAATAAAACACCATGTTTATTGTGTCATTCTGCTCTGTTTACCAAAATAAAAGCCCAGCTCCTGACAGCTCACGAGCTGCTGAGTGACGTCACGTGGAGCTGTCAGTCAACGAGCCCGAACCCCCCCACGGTCACAGCCCGGATCGGCTCCGGAACATTTTCAGCCGGTGTCCAGGTTCACCGAGCTTTAATAAAAATCCCCCCCGGGAAACAGTCCACCCGCTCCGGCAGGAAGACGGACTCAGAGCCGGGGACACAACTTCACCCACGAGCCGAACTTTGACGATTAGTTCCGTGTTTTCCCGGTGCGTCGAAGCGCGGGCACGTTAATGAGCCTGACGTGTTTCCCGTCGAGTTAAACCTTAAAACGAGTAAAAMTCTGCACAGAAACGAGCTCCGGTGGCGTCTTTACCCGTTTTTACTCACCGGCATGCATCTTCTTCTTCCGTGATGTTCTGTTGATTTCTGTCCGCTGCGCGCGCTCCCGCTGCGCGCTGCGCGTGCCTGTGTTAGC